TGATTGTGAACAGTACAGGCAGATTGTTGCATAGAATCAAGGCAAAGCAAGTTTATCTGTTTAAACCTTTCAAAACATAATGGCATTAAGACAAAGGAAACAAGACAATATACAAAGACATATAGATTTTAAAGGAGTAAAATAAAAAGACAATAAAAATAAGCTAACACAGAATAGGACAGATTAAACAGCAGAATAAAAATGACTATGCTGTGTGAGGTATGAATAAACAGTTTTAAGCCCTGATTTAAAAGAACTGACAGTTGGAGCAGACCAAGTTTTCTGGAAGTTTGTTCCAGATATGTGCTGCATAAGAACTGAATGCTGCTTCTTCATGTTTAGTTTTGACTCTGGGGACAGTAGGCAGACCTGTCCCAGGCCATCTGAGAGGTCTGCATGCTTCATAAGGGAGAAGCAGATCAGGAATGTATATTTGCCATGAACTATTCAGTATTTTCAAAAACCAAAAGTAGAATTTTAGTGTGTAAAGATCTGATAACTAAGACCAGACTAGAGCAGAAATTCTGCTGAGAAGTCCTTTAATTCTTGATATATCCTTAAGGTGAAACCAGTCTTATGGTTTTCTCTCTTTAAGCTGCTCCCTAAAACTACATTAATGCCTGTTTGGGAGCTTGATCAGATGAATTATTTCTTTATGAACATTCTCAGTAGTGGTTAACTGATGTGCGTTTTTCAACCAATGCTGATATTTAGAGAGCAGGGCTGCAGATGGCGGATATATAATGCTGATATCAAAACAAAGAAAAGGCATGTTTAATTCTATTTAATTAGTGCATACTCTATGTTTACAGCAGGATGCATTAGAGTTATAGCACAGGGCTTGAAAGCAACCTTTTCACCACCTTCCCAAAACTCACAAAGGCGAGTGCTAACATCGTTCCACAGCAGCCACACTGACATGGCTGCCTGCAGATGTATCTGAAGACATTTTTTATTGGCCTCTTGAGCACAGACATCTGCCGATGCTGATTAACTCAAAATACTAATCGGCCCAAATAATCAGCCGACAGATTGATTGGTCTATCACTAATTCTTAGGAACACTTAACCTTACTGCTGGACATTTTTATACATTTTAAACTACACTTGTGAGTTGTCAACTCTGTTTGTCATCTGTCCTGTTATGTGTTGTTTATGCACTGATGCCTTTACATAAATGAAGTTCCTAACCGAAATAGTTTTCTTTATTAGATTTTTGATTTGTTGAAAAATACCCAAACAGAATAGACCTCCCACACACCATTTATAGTTAAAAGTTTTTCAGCTAGATGATGCAGATCTAAAAGACTGTTTTATGTATATTCATTGAAATTAGTATCTATGTATTTTATTTTTAAACACAGAAGCTTTTGTTGTTTATAGTAAAATAGTTAATCTTCCTGAGTAACTGAAAAATTATTTTCTCACTGTTTAGTTCGTCCGAAGATGTTGAAATAAATATATTTATAGAAAAGAAAAACTAGGACATTATTCTCAAACACGAGAAATATTGTACAGTATTTTTGTTTTTCCATGTCTCCTTTGTCTCTGATATATTATTCTTGTCATGGCAAAGCTGCTGTCGCACAAATTTAAAATGCCAGCCTGACCTTTATCAGTCTGTCTGAGACTAAAGCTGTTCACGGTGAAAGACTTACAGCTAACACACTATTGCACTCTTCTGTATGTGCTGTACACACATCAATACAGTGTGTATGCAGCCTATACTTGTTGTTTATGTTCAACAAGTCAACAATTCATTATTCCTCAGTGTATGTTGAGAGAAAGGATTCACCACAGGTGGAGTTATGTGGTTTCCCATCAGCTGTGACAACATGATACGTGCAAACCTACACATATATATTTACACTCTTTTTCTCTGTTTCCAAGACTCATACAGAGACACACACTTGAGGATGATAGCCAAGGTCTTTCCCATCTTTTCTCACCCTGCTGATAGCATTCACACATTCATCACTGTCTAAATGGAAAGCTATTAAGATGTGGATAAAAACAGGAAAGAGAGGGAGCTGTTGAGGCTTGGCCTCTCTGGAGGGACCTCTGGTATATTTGGATTTCAGATTTCAGGCCATTTTCAAAAACTGTCCCTACAGAACAGCATGCAAGCATGAACATTTATACTGGCTGTGACATCCCTTTTAGTATACAGGATATCAAGTAATATTTGAATATATGTTTTGCTACTCAGAGAGTTTTTTCACTGGTGTTTTTATTGGATTAATCTTATTAGTAATGCAAATAGCATAGCTCTACGGATGACAGTGTCTATCAGTCCTCCACTTTGGTTCAGACTGAAATATCATAAGTGTTGGATGGGTACTGAAAAGTCTTGGTTGCCACATGATGAATCCCACAGACTTTAGTGATCCGCACCACCAGGAAGTTTACTTTTGTGGTTTTAAGTGAAATGCCTCAACAACTGTTGTATGTATTGCAATCAAATTTTGCTCCTGTCAGGAATTAATTCAATAACTTTGACTTTTCATGTAATGCCATCATCAGGTACATTTTAATGTGTCCTTAAAGTTTTAGCTTATTACCAAATACTAATGACACTCCTATCAGCTGTATTTTTGTGCTAAATGCAAAAAAGCTGAAGTTAACATACGAACACACTAAATGATAATGGTAAACACGGTAAATATTATTCTTGATAAACATTAGCATTTTAGCTTAGTCAGTGAAGAACGTCTAAATGCAGCTTCACAGAGCTGCTAGCATGGCTGTAACATTGCTTTGCCGTCAGCTGTTATCAGACTGACAATAACCTATTTCAGGTCTTCGTACTGAATCTTTGCTCCTAATACAGATGAACACAACAATGAGCAAAGCTCAGCAGATATGATGTAACTAGGTTTTTCTTCAACAGAAAGTAAATGAATTATCTCAAAAATGTCATGTGTTTTTATTTTTATTTCTACATGCACTACTGCAAAAAAACACATTTGTTAAGAAACCCAAAGTAGTAGAAGAAGCAGTATGCAGACAGGGCCACAATATCTAAATGATGAGCAGAGGTCACAACCATTGACAGTATATATAACTCAAATCAAAATTCTTCTCAAAACCATTCAACCTGTCAGGATTCATATTAAACGTGTATGAGTGTGTCTGAGCCTAAATAATTTCATTAAACTAAAGCAGATTTACAGTGTAATTATAACAGAAGCAGGAAATGCCACAGCAGAGAACTCCCAGAATCTAAATGAGTATGTGCCTGCCTGGTACCATCCATTATTCCCTCTCTGTCACATGACATTTGAGTCTTTCAGGGACAGTCGGGACAAATCTTCCCGCTACCACTTGAACTTGCTGACTGAAGCTTAATGTTCAAATACTTGTCAGTCGCCTCCATGCAGACCCGTCAAAAAAGACCTTACATGACCCCTGTGTGACCTCACCCTGACCATCCCTGACCCCACCTGTTGCCCCAAATGCTGAAGTTTTCTACATTTTGTCTCTGTTCTGCTGAATCAGCACTAACTAGACAGGACTCCATCAGAAGCA